CTGTTCACCGCAATCCAATCAACCAACCATGGCTTAGCGTTGTAGCTGAAAATGATTCCTACTTCAGCTTGACACGTGAGTGCTGCATCAGTGTCTCCGGATGCGTGCAACCTAAAACGAGAGAACAAGCCGAACACAGTTAATTCAACAATCTCATTACGGTCATTGATCCTAGTTTCGGCCACACAACTCACATCACTACCTCAACGTGTCTAACTTGCGTGCGAGTGCAGCTTGTTGACTTAATTGTCTTAGAGTGCGAACCTTGAACGCCGCCAGAAAAACGGAACTGGGTGGCCTTAGAAGAGACGGTTGCCGATAGGCGTCTAGTGAGTGTTGCGCGAAGTTGGCTACAGATGCTGTGATTCCAGTGACATTGCGGCTGCTGTCCATTAAGCCGGGAATTATAGAAGGAAGGTTAGTATTGAGCATTGAAAGGGGAGTAAGAGAAACTGGTGGAAAAGAAAGGACGGAGGCGCCAGTAGTAGCATGTTTTCGTTTATCCGGCCTGCTATATGTAGCAGATAAGACTACCCTTTATGGTCTGCGCGACAGCCGATGCAGGATGTGCTTTAACTTTGAGGAAATTGTCATGGTTGTACGTGGGCTGAGTATCTACCTGGGCGCCCAGACTTAGGAGGATGATTAGGGTCCTCAACCAAAGCGTTTGGCTCAAAATCCTGTCCGCAAGGCAGCGGCTTGTTGCAGTGGTTTGCTTTTACAGAAATGGACGCCATCCCATTTCAAACCTCCAACCTGGAGTACCAGGAGACTGAGTTTGTCTAACTTCTAACCATTGACCAACCTGGTAGGAGTAGATCTCAAAGCGCCCAGAGACACTACTACCTATGGGTCAAGGAGGTACGCAAACCGTCGCACCAGGTTAACGTGCAGTGTCATTGCGATGACAGCAAGGCGTCGCCACGGCGTATCAGCGTACTGCTGATGCCTTTGCTCGTAACTAGTCATGACGGACAGAGTTGTCGAATGAAGTCAAACGAATTCATTGTGGGAACATTGTTTTCAACCGACATCTTACAAAAACCTAGGTATTGTTGTTTTCCCATTGACAAAGCAGATAACGGATACTCCTGTTTGGTTCCTTCCGAACGCAGAAAACCATGTCTCTACAAAACATCCAATTGAGCTTGGGAAGTTACTGCGTTATTAGCAAAGGTCCGGAGGGAAACTGCTATTAGAAACTACCATAAGTCGGTAGACATTTTCGCCCATTGGCTCTAACCTAGGAGCGCTCTAATTGGTTAACTCTTCTCCACTGAGCTTCAGGTTTGCTTGGTCCAAGCTTCTGCACAGGCTACTCGCGTGAAAACGCTCCTATTAACACACTTCCTTAACAGAGAGACAGCAATGGAAACACGTCATACGGAGCTTCAGTTCAACTATTATGGGTGAAATGGTTCTCCAGCGATAGTCTTTTTATTCCAAAGCAGGTTAGATTGGTCACAGCTTGAATCGGGACTTGACATCCTGTTCGGCCTCTTTGTAATGGTGTAGAACACCGTGTAGTGTTGGTTCATCATTGGTTGTACTGCACCCGTTTGACTTTAAGGCTTCACTTCGTAGCCGGGGCACTCCATTGAAGTCGAACATTGGTCGCAAAACTTAGCATACTGACCTAGCAACCTGCAGCATCTGACTCCATAATCGTTACCACTGAGTTCCTGTTTGAAGTGTTAAAATCAATGAACTCGAAGAGGTGGAGTTTTGAAACTACCGCCCGGTTGAATTAACTCTCATTTTGACGAGAACCGCACGTATAATTTGACGATTGACCGGAAAGTTTGCCATCATGATTCCGTGGATCAATTGAGCAGTGCCCACCGCATCTGAGTACTCCAGTTTCCCGAACCTGATGTGTTTGCATAATGGAGTGTTGAACCTACTGCCATGAGAAGTATCCTTCGGCCTGTGTGGTATTTTCTCACACGCCGGAGGTTGGTTACATTGTGAGTTACATAGACAACGAAGTACAGCTTCAACTTGCGCACATTAATTCGTCAAAACCTGTAGTATCGATCCATAGCCTGGCACCGACATTGATTTACCTAACTGTCCTATGGAATCAGGCCTTGGCTCGAGTTTTGCACCAATACGTTATGTGGTCTCTTACTCGGCTGCGTACTAGCTATGAAGATGTGACCCATGGTATTCGACGATTCCTCTTCAAAGAAGCAACTCCATGTCATCCGGCATCCATAGATTCTACACTGCAACTATAGACGCTGTGATTATGTCAGTCAGTCCTACGCATGTGCGGCTTTTCATCGTTGCCGTTATCTTTCTGGGTCTCTAGCGCAGATCCACAATAGTTTGTTATGATTTGTTAAGTCAAAGACAGACTCTGAACACAAAGAAGACCATTGTTATTTGTGCACACGAGCTTGCGATATACCAAGTTTTCGAACGACCTGCTTGAGCGCATAGATTCCGACGTTTAGGTTCACTGAACCATCTATCCTCGAGGGCCTACTCAACCGAAAAAGTTTTTACTCTCATACTTTCATGGCACATCATAACTCGATTCCTCGCTTCCTGCTGGTTATCGAGCTCTCTGTTGCTAAGAAGTTCGTTGCTCCGAGACTTACTGCAAGATTAAACCGGCGTGTTGACCTAGTTGTCCGCTCACTTCTTTCCGCAACTGCAACGCATGGGTGATTAAGTCTCTCCCCTGTTTACACAACTGGTCCTTGGGTCATCGACCGGGATGTTGCTGTGTGTTCAACGTCCAGTTTCCCCCTTCAAACGGCACATTTCGGGTTACACCGATATTGTCTCGCTTTAACGTCAATATCTGTCTGCTTGGCAACTGAACAAAGCATCTGGTCCGGATAAGTTCTCATGTCGTTCTCTAGGAGTGCACAGATTACTTGGCACAACCTCTTGTCAACTTGTGCACAGTGCTTCAATCAGCACAAGATAGCTGATAGTTGACAAAGTGCAAGAATTACACCGGTACCAAAAAAGGGATTTTTCAAATATCGGCTAATCGTCTGTACGCCGGTTGCTTTGAGAACTATTCAGAGGCCTAGTCTTAAAGGGGTCTCAGCCCAGGCACATTTAGATGACCCTCATCAGTTTGCATATCGCAACTCAAGGACCACCTTAGATGCGGTGGCATGTCTGATACATGCTTTGCTTTCGTCACTGGGTAATCAAATCAAACCTATCCGCATCTGCTTCTCGGATTTTAGTAACGCTTTCGATCATGTGGACCGTGAGCTATGGCTACGCGATCTATCACGTTCTGGAGTTCAAACCTCGGTTGTTCTTCTGTTAAAAGATTATTTTACAAAGCCTACCCAGTTCACAGTGTTTTGTGCGAATCCTCTTCTTCACTCATCACGAATTCTGGTGTTCTTCGAGGAGCCATTTTGGGCCCATTCCTATGTTCTGCTTACGTCAGCTCAATCCCCGTCCCTGAAGAAGCGATCTCACTGAAGTATGCGGACGACGTAATCCTTGGTGTCCATCATCCAAGCATAGCCTCGTTGACCAAACTACAAATCCTCCCTGATAACCTCACAAACTGGTCCAAATCCCCTTGCTTACCGCAAAACGCTAGGATGTCCTTTTTCACTCTTCAAAGGAAATCGCTACCAGCAAATAATAATGCAGTTCCCACAGCTTTCCATCGATGGCGGAGATTCGAGCTCTTTCTCTTCGGCCAAATACCCGGAGAGTGACACTGAACGGTGGACTTACGTGGTTCCTTCAGCTGAACGAAATATTCACTCTCTGTTACTTTCATATTTTCCGTACCCCTTTATTTGAACCAGCATTTTATCACTGCATGGGTGTTATCCTACTGGACCTACTGCTGTGCCGTAATTTTCCCTGTATAAAGACCTCAAAGTCATCGCCAGATCAATGAAGCATTTATTCCGGTGTAGTGGCATTTCACAACTGAAACTTGTTAACATTATGTCCAGCCATGTCCATTCGTAACAAGCTTGCATTTAAATTACTCGCTGATGTTAGCCACACTGCGTTATCCGAATACGTGTCAACCTCATCGACCAGATGGCTCTACAAAACTATGTACGCCCACACCAAGCCCTATGGTATACAACTTTAGTTTCTTGCTTGTCGTTTTTTGTATGATAAACATTCAATCGTTCTAGAACTGGTTGGTAAATTACATCTGCCATGTTAGCGCAGTCAGCATTATTTTCTTCGACGATTGTGGTTTTACATCTGTCCTTATGCATTTGTTTGCCTTTTTATCCTTGTCCCTGGTGTGCGGGTTAGAGCTGAATATACGCCCTTCGTGGGCGTATATAGCACCACCTTTACCTGATTTGATTTGTTTTACATTAGTTTATATCTCGGAACGTAAAGTGATAAGGTACAGAATACTCTAAACAGTAATCTGAATCTTATTAGTGGTTACATTTTCTAAAATCATCAGCAGTTCTGTCCATTTTTCATCTACGTGTTTTAATGTTAGTGAAATATCAGTCCTCTTTGCTTCTTCATTCATCACCTCATTTTTAATTTCCTTCGCATTATTCATTTTGTTCTTTGTTCCATCTACACTAACAACCACAGCGAGGCCGATATTTTGCTTATCTCTTAAGTTTGAGTAACTCGAAACATTCCGCGTTTGTCTCTCAACTCCGAAGTAACCGAACCTTTCGTCTTCCGAGCATCATCAACTACACATCAGTCTCCCTTCGTGTCATTTTCTGAGACTGTGACATGCCTCCGTCATGTTGTAAATCAGGCGTTTGACTTGCAACCTATGTACATCGGGTTAGGTAATCACTTCCATATGTCGTTGGAAGCCACTGCGTTTCGCTTTGCACACTTGTAGTGACGCACCTCTATAATGAGCCAGAGCGTTGCCGTTACTTTCTTACCTTTACGGTATCTCTATTTTATGCCTACGGCGTGCGCTACTTCCTTGGTATTTGCGGTCTTTTGACCGCATTTGTGATTTCGTCCCAACTCTTCTTCCTTTTGCACTTTTTTCTCTCCAGCCAGCTGCTCGACTGCCTGGCCACTCCGTTAGCCGATCGACTAGAGGAGTGGCGGCGAACTGTCACCCAACTAGATCGCGAGAATAACAAAGAGTGGCGCCGTGCTCGCAATGAATTGCAGCGAGTCACCGGAGATTTCGACAAACTGAACAAACGTTTTCGAAGAAAGGTACGTGCGCTGTCCGTGTGCACATGAATATTGACATGTTGTTTGCCGCTGGGTCTCCACTGTTTTCCACATCAGCTGTCGAACTTTGCTCGCAGAACTATCAAGCCAAGCGGTTCCAAATTCCACACACACGAATTTTGCATGATTAATGTGTTGACGGTAAACGGTAGGCCAAGCGCATTTTTTCTCACGCACCCACGGTCACCACGTTTTGTCACACTCAGGCACACACGCACGCGGCAGCGAGCAGGCAACTTTTGAGGCATACTGTTGTTTCTTTTTTCCGTTCACCATGGATAGCTTTCGTCCATAGTGTCTTATGCGTTCCTTTGACCTTTTCGCTTGTTTTGATATTCAGGTCTCCGAATAAAAGAGGATAAACTGCGGATATATCAGCACCTGTGTAATAGTGGATAAAGTCACTACCTGCATAGAAAAAGCTCAGGACACTTTCAAAGCTTAGTAACTTTTCAGTGTTTTTCACACACCATTCTCTTCATTTCCATTTACATTAAACATTGATATCAAACTTATTGTGCACACAAACCTTCAACGGATTCCAGCTACGCGCCAAATCTTGAGGCATTACGAGCCATCGGCATTTCTTTCGTTAGACCCCAGCCAGAAAGTGCTAGACATACGGTCACCGATTTCATACGCTGTCACCGGGTGAACAGCTGACCACCACACGGTCTCGTCCAGCCCAGTCCTACACAAGTGAACGGAGCACGATGAGGTAAATTATCAGATAGCATGCACAAGATGTGACCAAGCCATCTCCATTGCGGTAACAAAATTCGCTTGTTGAAGACAGTGCTCACATTCACTAGGACCTGATGTCTAACTTCGCCGTTGCATACACGTTTTTTGCGATCCCACACGGGCAATCATTGTCGAAGACAGAATGCCGGCGCAGTGCATCCACGCATACTGGCCACTACGCGCTAGCTTACAGAAACACCACCCGAACGGAAGCAATGTAGACCCCGCTTTTTACCGAGCTTAATGGCCCGACTACGCCATACACACACGCCGACCACATTTTGGCATGTAGAGATAAGTTTCCTTCCCAAATAGTGCCCCTAGCAGATACGAAGCTCCTCAGGTAGACAGTTATCCATCTGTTTATGCTTTTTATCTTCACGAGTGAGCACGGGAACGTGTATATACCAATTCTGGAGCAGCACTTCACTCTTCGACAGGGGAGGCGAGCATAACACATGCCACACCTTGATACAAAATGGTCTGTAGGTCTGTACCAAGTAATGTGTTGTCACCAACATAGTTTAAATTAGTCGCTTGCTCAAGCCCAAAATTCTTTTACCAATTCCGGAGTTTTGAATTGCACGTCTTCAGTTGCAAAACAGTAGAGGAATGGTAACTTAGTGCATTGACAACGAATGACGACTAATAATAATAATAATGATAATAATAACAATAATGATAATAATGCTCATCATCATCACCACCATCCTCATCATCATCACTACCACCATCATCAGCATCATCGTCCTCATCCGCATCCGCATCATTATCCTTTTCATCAATACATGTTAGCTGAGGGCGGGAAACACGCCTCAGCTAATGTGCCGCAGCCCGGCAGCCGGGATGCACCAACGGACGCCAACTTCAAAATGAGGGTTTTCATTCCTCTTGACCAAGTCATTGCTTAGCCTCCCCTCGTTCTCTTCCATCCACACCCTGGGCACGCAAACAACGCACGTCGCGGGAGTCGGTGGGCTGGTATGCGCTGCACGTGGCCCAGCCGTCGGAGCCTGTTGCGTGATATAAGGGTGCTGAGCGGTTCACTCGCTCTTTCTGCACCAGATACGCAACTCCGAACACATTCATTGCTCACGTGGTGCTCCCACCAGACATGAGCTAAGCTGCGAAGGCAGCGATGGTCATATGTTGCTAGCCTCTTTATGTCTGTCGATCTGATGATCCAGGTTTCACAAGCATACAGGAGGATTGAGCGGACGGCTGCATTGTAAACTATGCCCTTCAGAGTGAGAATGATGTCCCATCGGCGCCACAGGTCTCGGAGATTGGCAAAAGCTCCTCGAGCTTTTACTATACCGTTCGTGACGATAGTTTTTCACCAACCCTCATTCTGTTGGAGACGTGGAAATGCAGTGCATGTAGGAGGATGGTAGTATGCTTCTCTGTGACCCCAGTGCTTAACATGTAATGCTTTAGCGGATGTCAATTAACTGGATCGTATTTAGCTCGGGAGTCTAGGAAATAAACAACGGTAGACCTCCAGTAGATGTTGCGGCGTTCAAGCAATTAGTAGTGTGGGATTATTTGACCCACGCACTCATGACCGGGACAGAAACCAGCTTATTCTTCACGGCTATCTAATTCACGAATTGATGGATAGTCTACAGAGCAGAGTGGGTGCCAATTGCTTGGAGGCAACCGTAATAAAACTAATCCGTCGGTGAAATGTATGCACCTTTATTAAACATTGAGACAATAACCGATTCTCCCCACTAGGTACTCACCTTTTTCATGCCAAAATGTGGCGAACAATGAGATGTGCTGGCTGATGACTACTGTACCGCCGTAGTTAACTATCTCCAGGGGAGGTACGTCGGAGCCGGCAGTCTTGAATCACATCAGATGTCGAATCTCAAGGCAAACTTCCTCTTTGCTAGGTAGGTTCACTCTTACGGCTTGGCGCATGCAACTGAGTTTACAAGGCAATCTAAATGTTCGGCCCATCAGCCCAGGCACCTCTATCGGTAACCTATTCGCTTCGAGGTAGTATCACTGACACCAAGTCTTCTGTGGGCAGTAGACGAAATGAGTTGGTAGAGCTTGGTAGTATAGCCAGTGAAAGCAGCGGCCGCCATTCTCGAATTACGCTGAGATCACCAGATTTCAACATCTTGACGCAAGCTTTGTTTGAGCTACCGACTGCCAAAACGGCACACTTCATTATGATCGCTTCCTTAGATAAATAACTGCTGCTCGTGTTACAATTACACTTTAATATCTTATCTCCCGTTATACTTGAATCTATTCGCCTTTGCCTCTGAGCATGTACCTTTTAATATGGACATCTTCCTACACTTAACGGCCAAAGTTCGTACTGTTGCTTTCCTTCGAATTTACCGGAGATATTTCTCGGCGCTGTGCGTTCTCTACACTACAACCGCTAATACCTCAGAGATGCTTTCTCTTAACTTCACTGCGGCAGATTGAAACTCTTGGGAGCACCATACTTTCCTATTTTTCTTCACTAGGTGGACAAAGTTTCTCCCAGCTTACCACCTGGGATTCTCAAGTTACACAGGTTATACAGGTCTTAAGGGCCCGACCCACATGTGTCTGGATAAGCTGACGCAGAGCGCTTCAGCCATCGGTATTCGCTTTGCACTTCCAGATCGCGATGTACTAGTACAGGATTAGCACGACGCTGCCCCGAGTATCACAGTCGCTGAATAGCTATTTGATGTGTGATAACTGCCACCCATCTTGTTGTCCGCATCACTTCCAATTCTGAACTGGACGAGTGGGTAGCTATGCACAGGTGTAAAATTATATCTCTTCCTTAGTTGGCACTTCTGAGTAAACCACCTCACCAGTGTTGTACTATGAAAAGCTAACTATGTATCTACCCAGGTGCATGAAGCCTATTTTGACTTGACTTGTCCGACGCGATCCAATCGCAAAATCAGTCGTGTTGTTGCGCTTGGCCTCATCTCTTTATGCACTGTTTTTCAATCGACATTTGCGACTTCTTCTTCCTTCGCCTTTCTCAGCTTCGCGTTTTTATATCTGCTTACGTTTCGGCGCTGCTTATTATTTTCATTATGTTTACTAGTCAGGGTAATTTAGTGCACTAGCCGTCGATGCTCTGATTATTATTACTTCGTATCTGAACTCTATCATTTGTGAGGAAGATGTGGTTTGAGTTGCTTAAACAAAGATCGGACATGCAACACTGCAGCGCGTCCTCTATAATCTTTCAAGATGGGAATTACGGTAGCACTTTTAAGAGTACTTGTAACGAGAACCGTCAGCAGCAGTAAAGCAGTATGGCATACCCATGCTTTACTCTGCCATACACCCATAATACTTTTATCAATGAGGAATTGATGTAAAACATCAATTTCCTTAGCAAACATTTATAATCAAGGTGCCTAGGCACTGTAGGAAAAGCACAGTCATAGATATCAGCTAAACAATCTCCTTTCACTGTCTCGACTGAACAGTAATCAAACATACGTATCTGCATTCACTTAGAAGGATTAAACTCGCATGGCATTGCCTATTCTGCAGGGTTCCTTTAGTAGATGAGTTCCTCGTGCAGTGCCATCGCAATGACATTGAATCTTATCTTGGTACGACGGTTTGTGTGCCTGAACGGTCCGCTGAGCTATGCTGGTTGGTGTTTTTTTTACCTTGAATCATTCATACCAGATTGGTCAATGGTTAGAAGCCAAAGTAATCCAGTTTCCTGGTCCTCCAGATTTGGGGTTTGAGTGAGGATGGCTCCTTACTCTATAAAACGGACTGCATCCCCGTGACAAATTACCGCAGCCTTACAATCAGGTTTCGAACCGAATGTTATGTTCCATGGCAGCTGGGAGTGAGTAACAGGCTAAGTCGGAAACAGATATTGACGGAAGCACGAAACTAGACAACCATGTGAATATTTCAGGGGAATCAGAACTGTGGGAAAGACAGTAAAGTTATATGTAACTCTTAAACCTCAGACACTTGAACCACATTCATGACTAGTCGTGGGAGATAGCATGCCGGCCAAGAACCGTAATTTGACACTGGAGAGGATGTGTAACTTGTCTGCATGTGCTGTGCCTATACAGAGTGATTCCCAGACATGGGGGCGTACGCGATCAACCACTTACGTATTGTGTAGTGAGACACAATGTCTCCTTGTGCACGGTGAAAGATAGTCTGGGAAATAGCGCGGCAGTGGCCAGAAAGAAGGATAACCGATGGGATGTACGAAAAAGGCGATAGCGCGG